TTTTTTTTTAAGAATTCTCTTCTGCTCACCAAGGCTGCATTTATTTGATCCAAAGTACAGCAAAAACTGTAAAATGTTGAGATATTTTTACTATTTAAAATTGCTTTCTATTTGAATAGATTTTAAAATGTAATTTATTCCTGTGATCATACATAGGTACATTTTCTGCATCATTACTCCAGTCTTCAGTGTCACATGATCCTTCAGAAATCATTCTAATATGCTGATTATCAATATTTAAAACAGTTGAGTATTTTTTTTTTCAGGATTCTTTGATGAATAGAAAGATCCAAAGATCAGCATTTATCTGAAATAAAAAGCTTTTGTAACATTATACACTATTCCATTCAGTATCATTTTTATTATTTTTTGGGAAAGAAATTAATACTTTTATTTAGCAAGGATGCTTAAAATTGATCAAAAGGGATGATAAAGGCATTTATAATGTTACAAAAGATTTCTATTTCAGATAAATAGTGTTCATATCGATATCCGAATTATATCGTATCGACCGAAATTAAGAAATATATCGTGATATCAATTTTGACCATATCATCCAGCCCTATGCTGATGTCCACTGTCCAACTATGTCAATGTAGGTTTGATCACTAACTGAATGATTTTCTAAAAAAACAAAAAAAAACAAAGTCTAATTATGTGATATAAACATGCAGAATATAGCTTCACTTTCTGTTGAGGATGTAGTCATATGTTTTGCATCTCTGTTAACTATCATGCCTGATTTATGGAATCTGTATTTCCGTGTTTTGTTTTATGAATAATACTATTAAGCAGAGTCACACTAATATAGAAAAGAGCAATTTAGCCTCCTATTCCTATAAAATGTCTAAACAAATTAACTATGTGTCAGACATAGGAGACAGAAAGCAGACAGCATTGTGGCGTCTTCAGAGAGAAATGTATTGGTAACCAGACCCGCAGACATCAATGTGCTTCTGGAACAGACCTAACCAGACCACTTTCTATCACTTAGCATTAACATTTAGTCTTAATAACAGTGCTGTGTCCAGCTCATTGTGTAACTAATGTGAATGTATAACCACCTCAAGCAGTTGTCTTATCAATTATCTTAATATTAACATGATTAAAGAAAAATAAATGGACAAAACTTTTCCTAGGTTTCAGTCAGGCATTAAGATTATGGCTGCAGATTCATTAGCAGTGGCTTAGTTTTAGCTGACTTATCTGCATACTGTCGTTGTCAAGGATTAAATATCTTTGAATTTCCTGAGTGAGCATAAACTGTTGGTATGTCCCTTGTTTTACCCTTGAGATCCTGTTGACAATGTGTCTCTCTCTCTCTCTCTCTCTCTCTCTCTCTCTCTCTCTCTCTCTCTCGCAATGTGTGTGCCTTCATGTCAGTGTAGATTTTCCCATGGGACAGAGCGGCAAAATTTCAGAGGTGTGGAAATGTTCAGAAAGAGGCCTCCCCCAGGTAAACAATTAGCTACTCATCCTAAACACACACACATACACACACTTTTAAATTTATTTGCCATATTGTGCTCTGAATTTAAAATACACACTTTGATTTTAACCTTTATTTGTCAGTGTGTTGTTATGCATGGGTGCTTTAAAGGGGTGTGTCCAGGGGCAGAGGTCTACTTACACCCCATAGACCTGAACCAGGTTAGATGCCATATTGAATTTGACATGGATGAAAATTAGGCTGTGAGGGATCGACTAACAGTCTTTACAATGGCATACACCATATAAAGGTCTTGGATCACATAATTTTCTGGAGTTTTTGTCTACTGAATATTTTTTTCAGAAAGACATTTTATCAACTGAACAGTCTGTATAAACTAAATAGCACAATCCATTATTAAACAATAGCACAATCCATTGAACACACAGTACTTATATCCCTCACTGCCACATTTTCATTCTTGTCAAAAATTAAATTTGGCGCTACTTGATTAAAGTTCTATTGATGGTTAGGTTTAGGACCTTCATGTTGACTTTTTTTTTGTTGTTGAAAATTGCACATATATACAAAATCGCCACCAGGTAAAATGTTTCTTTATGACATCGGGTTGCTCAGCTTGAGCAATGATGCTTATGAGAATTAGCCTAAAAGATATGCAATATCCTATTTATGCATAGATCTTAGTCAGGGTTGTGTCATATTTAATTGACAGGAATGAAAACAAGGTAGTGAGGGATAGAAGTACAGTTCAATTGAATATACTGTTGTTTAACAACATACAGATTGTTCAGCTGACAAAACATCTTTATGAAAAAAGGGAAAAACTGTTTTGAAAGCTGTGAGTTGGCAAAAAGTGCATGATCTAGGATCTTCATATAGTTCATGCCATGGTAAAGACTGTCAGTCTATCCCTCACAGCCTCGTTTTCACTTACTTTAAATGCAATATGGTGTCTAACTTAAAGGTGCAGTCCGTAACTTTTAGCGCTCTAGCGGTTAATAAACAGAACTGTGTGCGTCTTGCGGAAGAACATTGTAGCCGGAGCTACTTCTCTCTGTTTATGTCTATGGCAAATCACGCAGGTACTGGGCTACTCCGCAGCGGTACCTACCCGAGCCAGTCTAAATAGTCCGAATATAAACACTTATTATAGTTGTGTATTATAGTGATTCAGGACAAGCCAAAAACATGGTTTGGAAAATGGTTTCACGGTGTACTCGCTTATTATATAAATTTTGTAAATTTTAATAAATACACAAAAACGTTACGGACTGCAGCTTTAACTATAAAATGCAAAACTTCTTGACTTCCCTGAACTCGTCTGTCTGATTTAATTTACATTTACATTGTATATTGTGTTATGTGGTGCAGTCAGATAAGAACAAGTTCTGTGTGTGATTGGGTAGCCACAAGTGTGATTTTGTTTTTGTTGCTTGTGTGTTTTCACTGTGGTGCAGTGCAACATCAAAAGTTAAAGACATACACATGAGTATATGCTGGAGCATTGTGCTTAACAGTCCGGAGGTTTCCTTCCTTTGCACAAGACTCCCTCTCTCTCTCCACACATAACAGAAGTAGCATGTGCACAGACACCTGACTAGTCCAGGATGTCTTCCGTGCCTCCCTTTCTTACCCCCCTCCTTGCCTTTAAGTATGAAACTGTCTGTTTATCAGGAGCCACTTTGGCTCTGAATCTTATTACTATATGGATATTTCATTGGCAGATGACTCAGTATAGTCGCTGGCTCCTTGTGTCTAAACCCATACATGTTTTACAGCTCTGCAGTCTAAGTTGCCCTGGCAACCTCCTCAGTCAGTTCCCATTGGCCACATCCTCGACCAATAGAACGGCTTTCTGATTATGTCATATAAAAACACCGTCGTAGTTCTAGTGGGGCTGCTTGACAGATTCCGGTGACAGTGCTAATATAACATGTCGTCAGCCTGGTGAAAAATCGATATTTCAGAGGCTTTTAGTTGAATGTCAATTAATATTTGCTTATGTAGGAGTTTAAAGCCACATTTATTTATTAGGCTATACCTAAATAGTGCACGCATATCTGAAACGCAGAAAGTTACTCTAAATGAATGTCCTAAAACAATTCTTTAGTGTAGAAAATTCACGCTGTTTAAAAACATTTAGGAACTAGATTTGTGAAAGTGTTATCGAATCGCAACGAATGACCTCAACGACTCTGCGGCAAATCAAAATTGAGAGGGAGTGAAGTGTATCTTACCGCCGCGTCTGTACTCTGATGTCTTCCACTCAGCGCTCCGTCATCCGGCGCCGGTCTGCAGCTGCCGCGCGCGCGTTTCTCCGTCGCTCCGCTGGTGTGATGTACGACTGCTGTGTGCGCAGAGCTGTGTAAACGAAACGACGGTGGGACAACATGACTATCCCGAAAGACATCCCAGAGAAGTGGTTTCCAATCATTCTCCCTCTAAAAAGGAAGAAAGAGGGATTAAGCAATTCAACAAAAATAAGAAAAGGAGCAGGTACCTTTACTGTGCGTTATAGCCTATGTCATATGTTTACCACAGATGATGTGATCTGAAATAAGTCTAGTTGGTGATTTCTATTATTCTAACATATGTGAGATGATATTCATATTGGAATAGAGGTCATTTAAACATTCAGATAATAATGTCCCATTTATTTATTTTGGGTTTCCAATCATTCTCCCTCTAAAAAGGAAGAAAGAGGGATTAAGCAATTCAACAAAAATAAGAAAAGGAGCAGGTACCTTTACTGTGCGTTATAGCCTATGTCATATGTTTACCACAGATGATGTGATCTGAAATAAGTCTAGTTGGTGATTTGTATTATTCTAACATATGTGAGATGATATTCATATTGGAATAGAGGTCATTTAAACATTCAGATAATAATGTCCCATTTATTTATTTTTTATTATTTATTTAATGTTTCTTCTTCCTTCAACACTTCCCTGTCATGTACTCTAAAAAAATGCTGGGTTAAATACAACCCAGTGCTGGGTAAAATAGGGACAAACCCAGCAATTGGGGTTGTCTCTATTTTACCCAGCACTGGGTTGTTTTTAACC